GGTTACCCTCGGCCTCCCCCATGCAGTGCCCTGGCTGGAGCCTCCGCTCCCCCAATAAACACCCCCCCCAGTGCAGTGCCCCGAGTGAAGCTGCTTCCCAGTGTCACTGGTTCGGCAGAAGCAGGACCCAACATTGTTGCCGGTGGTGTAGCACGCAGGACGGTTGTCTCTCCAGCACCTGAGCCCTGTGTACAGCTCTCGGAAGGAAGCCGGGGTGCTGGATGGGCCTGGGGCCTCGGGGCATTGTCAGCAGCACTCTGTGGGTGTCTGGATGGACTCTCCAGATCTCTGCCCCAGCTGCTGCCGGGGACTTTGTGCCGCTGCGCTAGCCGCCTCTGCCGCACAGGGAGCTCTCCCCTCTCCTGGTAGCTGGGGGTCAGCTGGGACATAAGGCCAACCCTGCTGCAGCCCAGCTCTGTTCTGCTCTCCAGCGCACGGTGGCGGCAGGCGAGGAGGAAGCATCTGCCCTGACATTTCAGAGTTTTGGCCTTGGGCCCCAGAGTGGTTTCCCCACAGTCTTTGCTTCCCTTTGGGGCTGGCCAGGCTGCTGGAGGCCCCACTGTGAAGGGGGAGCCACGAGGAAGCCAGCTCACACTCACTAATTTGGGGCTGCCTTGGGTCCGCAGGACAGAGGCTGTCGGTCAGCGCTGGCTCCTGGCTGTCAGGTCCCCGCCTCTGGAGCGACACGGCAGAAGCACATCCAACGTTGCTCCAAACACTTCTCTTTACTTTTCACTTCTGAGGATTTTAATTTGCAGGAATCGCCTCCTTTCATGTTCTGAAACCGAGTTTCTTTCTCCCTCTGATCTCCAATTTTGCACAGACACTGTCTCCTTTGATACGTCTTGTTCACATCAGCCTGTGATCAGGCAGCTCCGTAATTGTTAGTGATTTTCAAAGCACGGGGCTCCTGGTCTAACATGCAGAGTTGAGAATTCCGCCCTTTTTAAACGTTGCTCAGGCAAACTACGTTAATTTCATTGCCTCCCCCTTTTGGGAAGGGGGGGTGCGTCTCCCCCTCGCTGCCTGCATCCTGCCTGCCATTTGTACAGGAGCCCTGGTCTGTGACTGATGGCGTTCTTGGCCAAAGGAGTAGAGCGTTCCTGACAGGGGCTGAAACCGCATGTCAGGAGGAATTCAGTCAGCAGCAGCCCCTCTGGTGTAATGATTTCTGCACATCTGTACGTGTGCTGGAGGCCATCACAGGGCTCTGAATGAGCAGAGCATCCAGGAAACACAGCAAGAGACTGACCCTCCGGCTTCCTGCCAGGCCCTAAGGAGAGCCCTTCCCTTACTGCACTTAACTCCTTGGGCGCTCACAGGAACCAGGCCTGGGCCCCTTTCCAGGCCACTGCCTGTCACACCCCCAGATGGGAAAACCAGCTATCTGTCCTCCTGCTGGAGCCGGACCTGTGCCACATGATCCCTGTGCTGCCAGCCTCCTCGGGGGCTCTTCCCGCTCTCCTGCCTTCTCCTCAGTTCTGCTCACTGCTGGTCCTCTCGCTTTCTCCTTCCTTTGCACCTATCACTCTCCCCTTTTCATTCCCTGCGGCTGTTACGGTTTGATGTCGGGCTGACTCTGTCTTTTGCCTTGAGGCGCCTTTGGAGAGCAGTGATTTGCAGTGCCACTGCCTGGGATACCTCCCCTCTCGCAGCCTGCCCACCTCAGTCAACCCTTGCCCCTGGTCCGACGCAGACAGGGAGCAGCACGACACCCAGAAACAGGGAAAAGGGTGAATGGATTCTGGGGCTCAGCAGAATGCACTACCAGCATGAAGTAGGGACAAAGGGCAGACGCCCTGCTGCTGCCCCATTGCACATCCCCGCCCCCACCTTACATCCAACACTCAGTAAAGCACAATAACCGCCTGCCCAGTGCGACCCTATCCTGCCCTCTCCCCAGCGTGGCTAGCACGCTCTGGGAAACCTCCCCGCACAGACCCTGCTCTGGTGCACGGCATTCCAGACCTGACCACGTGCTACCACAGGCGCGGAGGCAGTGTGATGTGTGAGGTGCTAGGCCTCACTTAGGAACGAGAGGGATGAGTTTACACGTCTGAGCCAATCAGCTGAAGTTTTCTCCCATTACGGAACAATTGTACTTAGTTCAACACCACTGCCGGCCTCTCCTCAGCGGGCGCTTGTGACCAGAGCTGCTGGGAGAGGGGCTGCAGGGCAGGGCTGTGGGGTGGGTAGGAATGGAACAGGATGGGGGCTTGGATCAGGACTGATATGCGGTAGCAGAGCTGGGGGAGGGGTGCCAGGGCAGCACAGATAGAGCGGGGGGTGCTGCAGGTCCAGCAGGCCAGGACCAGCACGGCTGGGGGATGGGACTTGGCACTGCAACAGTCAGGGGGGCTGCAGATCAGGACTGTGTGGGGAGCCCAAAATGGAAAGGCAGGAGGACCATGGGTTGGGACTGAGGGACATGAACAGACCAACACAGGAGAAATTTGCACTAGTGAACATTCAGGTTGTTCTCCAAGGGGCGGCTCAGCTCGTTCTGTGCTACCTCTTCCTTTCTGGCTGGGCTTGAAACTTTGCTAACACTGTTAAAAAAAGTGTGAGTCTTGTGACCGTGTACGTCACGGTTCCCAATTCAAAAGGAATTCTAGTAATACGGCCCCTGATCTTGGGACGAGAACCAATCAAACCTCTGAGTGTTAACTGGGAATTTTTAAGTAATCAATATAATTAATAGACCAGGCAACAACAGCCAGGCACTGACAGATGGGGGAGGTGGAATCTCAGGGGTGGGGAGAGCTGGGAGCGTAGGTGCCGCAGACACAGCTAGAGGCAAGGAGACACGGCAAGAAACATCAGTCTCAGTATGATCCTAACCAGCAGCAGACCCTGCCTCGAGCAAGGCCTAGGGCCTCCTCCCCAGTGCCTGAGAGCAGCAGAGACCGGCATATGTGGGGGAAAGCTGGGGTAGAACTGGGGAAACCTCAGACGGGGAAGCGGGGGAATTGGCACCCAGCTCAGCCCACTCCCATTGCACAGGCTCATGGGGAGCCCACGTGCTTCTCCAGCTGGCCATCAGCACTGAGGATTTACTCAAATGTTTCCCTTAACTGCCTTATTTATTCCCCCCCTTGGCTCCAGTCGTGACTGGAATCCCTGGATTTATGACAAGTGATTCTGTGCTGGACAAGACTCTAGTTTGACAGCTCAGGGTAATGGACGGGAGCAGGGGCTGCCAGCTCCTTGCCCCCATCACCTTGTGCTCAGCGCGGGTGCAGGACACCTACCTATGGGGGACAGCTCGGCCACACTGCCAATGTAGGGTCCCTCCAGGAAACGGGGCTCGCTGTCGTTGATGTCCTGCACCTTGATGATGAACTCAGACTCAGGCTCCAGCAGCTGGTTGGTCTGGCGGTCCCGGGCCTGTGCCCGCAGCGTGTAGAACGTCTTCTGCTCCCGGTCCAGGCGCTCGGTGGCATGGATGTCGCCTGTGACCTCATCAATGAGGAAGATGGATCCTGCGCCCTCCCCGGAGATGGTGTACTTGATGGACCCGTCCCCCTCATCTGAGTCCGAGTGGATCTGCAGAGGAAGGACAGAGGGCGAGGGTTGGTGCTGAGAGAGAGCAACTGAACTGGCTGGAGCCACAGCTGCCACTCTTGCTGTGAGAGCCAAGTCAGTGAGAAGCCCCCTGGCAAGAGAGGAGCAGTAGCTGGGCCCATGGAGTGGGAGGGGCTAGAGCAGGGCTCTGGGGTGGGGAGGGCAGGCAAAGCAAGGGCCCGGTGGCTGCATGGTTTTCACTGCCAAGAGTTAGTTCAGATCAGCCTGTCCCTCTTGGAAGGGAACAGCAAGCAATGCGCTTGTCCTGGACTGGGACCCGGAAGACCTGGGTTCAATTCCTGGCTCTGCCACTGCTTTGCTGTGTGACCTTGGGCCTGTCACCAGATCTCTGCCCCGCTCCCTTCTAACACAGAACTGAGAGAATAATTCTGTGCAGCTCAGACCCCCCGTCACACGGGCCAGAGCAGCCCCCAAAGACAGAGTGATTGACAGTACAGGAGACACAACTGGAACAAAGCCACCCCAAAGCGTGTGAGGCTCAGACATCCACATGGGCAGCATCGAGTAACTGCATGCAGCACTGTGATGTGTGTAAACACCAGCTCACTGCCCTTCCAAACCCAAGCCAGCTGCCCCACTACTCTGGTGTGCATGCTCTGGCTCTCGATACCAGCGGCTGCCAGCCCTTCCACACGGTGACAGCTTCATGCCCACCCAGCCTCCTGGCAGGGATATGAGCACTGAATTCAGCACCAGAAACAGCCCCCCAGGAAAGCAGCTTGTGTAGCCAACAATTTCCTCTTCGTTTTCTAATGAAGATGCTATTTGGATTGAGGGAGCGAAAGGGTAAACAGCAGCTCCCTTTGCCCTGCAGCCGCCTGGAATCCAGGCCAGGCGTCCGGAGATAATTTTATTGGTGGCATTAAACTGAGTTATGAGGTTTTTACAATCCAGCCACTTATGAGAAATCTATTAACAGTAACTGGACAGGCAGAATGCATCTCCGAGGAGAGCAGCACGGGCATTAATTGGGGCAATCCATAATGGACAGGCCCCCAGAAAGGTTTCATCAGATGCATTCATTTACTCCTCACAATTTCTGCTGAGAATCAGCAAAGTTGCCAAAAAAAGAGCTGTCCATTAATCGGCTAATGAAATATGAAAATGTTTATGGGCCATTCAATCTTCCAAACTGCAGTTCTATAATCCACCTTAAAGACATACAGTTCCACCAGCAAGAATTTATACCAGGACCTGCCTCTTTTTATGATACCTTCATTATATTTATCTTGTTAGATACAATTTATATATTTATTTATTTTGTGAGTAAGATGCCCACACATTGGACAATTCAATGTACTTTACATGCTATTCATATATTATCGTCTATGTCAAATAGCCACAGAGAGTCCTGTGGCACCTTTAAGACTAACAGAGGTGCCACAGGACTCTCTGTTGCTTTTTACAGATCCAGACTAATACGGCTACCCCTCGGATATATGTCAAATACACACTCCCACCCTGCCTTGCCAGGAAATATACTCACCTGCCCAGCATCACCCAGAAAATACACCCACCTGCCCAGCATTGCCTGGGAAATACACCTGCCCAAATCACATCACAGGAAATACATCCACCTGCCTGGTATCACCTAGGAATTACCCCTGCGTGACTGGCAATACCTGGAAAATACACCCCTGCCAAGCCAACAACTACACCTGTTTTCTCAGCTATCCCTAGGAAACACCCACTCAAGACACACAGCCAGACACCCCTTTGCGGCTGGGTGCCCTAGCAGCAGGGTTCTGGCCCCACGTCCCCTCTCAGGCCCCTGATGGCTCCATGTCAGGTTTGCTTGACTCAGTAACACCGATCCATCCTTGGAGCTGGTTCATTACAAAAGTCTTGTGCAAACAGTCCCTAACAGAATTCCCCAGACAGCCCACTGATCACTCCAGTGCACATGGTCCTTACAATCCCATGACAGCCAGTCCATCGATGTAGCACATACCACACTCCAGCACCTTCCACCCTACCCAGGGTCTTCGTTGGTCCTCGCCTGTCCTGCCATGAGAGCCACACCAGAGCCCCTCCAGCTGAAGCGCAACCCCGCTCTTCCTCACCGGAGCCCCCACGGCCTCTCCACTGGGAGGGCATACTCACCTTCCCTCACTCCCCCAGTTCTGCCATCCTCTCACCTCAGACCGGCCAGAGGTGAGCCCTGCCACTGTTCTCTTGGCCCTCAGCCCTCTTCAGCCTCTGGCTCCAGCTCTCCTTCATGGAGACCTCCGAGGGTTAGCCCAACTACAGCCCTCTCCAGTCCCGGGCCCACCAGCTTGGGTGTCAATAGGAAACTCCCACTGCTAGGAGGGAGTTGCCTACTGACATCTGTTGGTCCTCTCCTGTCCTGCCCCCTCCAGCCCTAGCACTCCATCGTGGGGAGGTCAGCCAGCAAACCCCTCTGCTGCTCTTCAGCTTTCTCCCTGGCACGTCAGCGTCGCGTCCCTCCTCTCTTGAACTCCCCCTGATCCTTTCTAGCCCCAGGCGCTCCACACCCTCTCAACTGGCCAAACAGGAGCACCTGCTCTGACACAGGGCACCGGACCTGCTTCATTTAAAGAGGCCAGCCACCCTGGGACATACACTTCCGGTTGCCTGGCCAATCTCCCCACCCTGCGGGTATTGCAGCCATAAGGTAGTCATCCAGCTGGCTTGCACAGGAACGAAGCTGCCTGAACGACCCTGCCTGCTCTGCGTCACATCCTTCTGCCCCATGTCAACCCTTGCCAGAGACTGAAACACCATGGCAGGGGCTGTATCTGTTCCATAAAGTGCAGGGGCCACATACACAAATGTGCATTTCTCTGCTCATAACAACAGCAACAAGATTCGTGATGGTGGAATCTCCATCCTTAGAGGTTTTTAAGGCCTGGCTTGACAAAGCCCTGGCTGGGATAATTTAGTTGGTGTTGATCCTGCTTTGAGCAGGGCGTTGGACTAGATGACCTCCTGAGGTCCCTTCCAACCCTGATATTCTATGATTCTAATTATCAGCCAGGAGATAAACCTGTCCGTCCTGCCCCTATGCCCAGCAAACAGTCCAAACTAGCAGCATATCCCTGCTCCACATCTGCTTAACACTGACTCCGTGCTCAGAGCAGATGCCAGCAGCCCTGAAACCTGGAAAGCCAGGAAGAAAAACAGAGCCCGCACTCCGGGGGCTGGAAAGAGAGATTTACAAGGGAAGATTAATGAGCTAAATCTGCATCACTTGGCTAAACAACAACTAACAGGGGAGCAGGATAACTGTCTGCAGGTGTCTGAGGGGAGACAGCAAGGAGGGTTGGAGAAGGAGCAGGGGGTGCTTTGGGTGTGAAAGTGAGTCTGCATTTACACCCCTAACCTGGTGTACGAATCAGCAAGATTGTATGCACCAGCGCAGGGTTTGGGCACGCACATGACCAGTTGGACGTCAGAGCAGTTCTGAAACCTGGGCCAAAATACGGATATGCAGGTTTTTAAAGCACAAAAATGCAGCTGTCTGATTTCTTGGGCTGTCTCTCTGAGATGCCAGTCAATGAACTTGGCACATAGCACTAACCTGGGCTCCGAGCTGGACACCTGCAGCAGCTGCCCCCGGATCATTTGCCCCATGGGATATGTCTACATTGCAATTAAACACCTGCGGCTGGCCCAGGTCAGCTGACTCAGGCCCGGGGCTAATTGCAGTGTAGATGTTTGGTCCTAGGCTGGAGCCTGGGCTCTGGGACAGCCCGGGAGCCCAAACCCCACAAGCTCGTGTTAGCTGATGGGCCAGGCGCGGGTGTTTCATCGCAGTGTAGACATAACCGTGCTGCATTTGGCTTCTTACAGTCCATTTAAATGTTGGGATGGATTTTGGTGATCTGTCCTGTTCACGGGTGTGAGGGGTGAATGGCACCAGTGTGGAGGCAGGTTTGGGTAAGCATCTTCTGCATAGCTCTACCAGTGCACCTAGCCCTACCGCCGGCTCCCATGGCATTCCCAGAGCCCCTCACATCCTGCAAACCCCCTCCACACTGAGCTGCAGCACCCCCCGCTGTGCAGTCTGGTCCCTCATCCACCCACCCAGAGTTCTGCCAAGGCACCACAGTTCCTGTCTTTGCCCCCACCCCACCCCAACTCTGCCAATACATCCGGTTCTGAAGCGATACACACTGTTGCTCGTTCCTGGCCTGCCTCCCTTGCCACCGCAGACCCACCAGCACAGAAACCAAATATGGTGACAAGCTGCAGGGTGGCTCTGGCGAGTGGTGCCACAGGGACAAACTCCTCACCCTGTGCTGTGGCCAGTGCACACCCGCCCCAAACATCCCCAAGGCCTCTCCAGGAGTGCATGACCAATGAGCAAAGCCACCCTCTCCCAAGCCGATCTGGAGAACAAACCTTGCACTGGGTTTGCTTTGTAGATGGCTCAAGAGTGGCTGTGACAGTGCAGACAGCCCGAGGTGCTGAGCTTGACAGTGCCAAGAGCCAAAGGAGCAGAGAGAGCAGCCATTCCACAGCGCAGATAGCCACGGGGACAACCACCATTTCCCTCCGACGGCCAGTCCTCCAGAGACCCCAATGGCCTGGCTCCCATCTCAGCTGTGCCAGGGTGAATCGGAAGTCAATGGAGTTACTCCAGACTTACACTGGGGTGAGATCAGAATACGCATCTGCATCATTAACCCCTGAAACCTGCCCCTTCCTGGGGCAACAGGCCTCTCTGCGCTTCGTCCCAACTTCTAGGCACACCAGGAGCAGGTGAATCCAGGGCAATCGTAATCCCAGCATCTCCAGAGCACAGCTGGGAAGCTCTCTCTCACCAGCCCCTGATCTAAAACAAAGCAGCAGGTCTGGAGCAGGGTGCAATGACCCCTTCCTTCCTGGGCGTGCTCTTCTCCCAGGATGGGGGAAGGAAGCCCCACATTCGGCCACGGAGTCGCCCCTTATTCCTGGTGATCAGGTGTTTCTGGGCAATGGAAAAGATGAAAATCTTTCATCTGTTCAGATTGTTAAAAAGGGAAATTATTTCCCTGCTCTAAAGGGCTAACACTGGGATTTTACAAGGCCATTAATTACTGCCTACTAATTAAATCAAAATTAAATGTGAACAGAGGTGCATTTTCCTTATTAAAAATGATTAAAAAGAAAGCACAGATACACAAATAAAAACTACTTCGGGATTGAAAAATAAAGAAAATCAAATAAAAACTGGCCCTAATGAAGGCATGCTCTGTGTTTGCTCCAGCTCATAAAGCCCTAGTTCATCAATTTTCTTTAAATATTAGCAACTTAATTAAATCTGCTTTTTTCCCTTTAATCCCCTCTTCTATCTAAAATAGATCTGTCCACATGCAGAAGTTTGTAACTAGTGCTGACCCCATAATTCTATTTAAAAAACCCAAAGAAATCCACATCAAACTGACAGAAGCCTCGGGGGAAATTACAGTTCAGAAAAAGGATTAGCAAGAGAATCCAGATTGTACGGAAATGTTATTGGCCCTCAGAGGAGCACGTGTAGGGGTGTGGGAGGCTAGCCAAGCCTGTCCCAGCAGGTGGCACTGCTGGGAACTGTGTAGGTGCCTCACATCGGGGGAGCTCCAGCAGCTCCCATACCTGCCTGTCCCCACCACACCTTCCCCAGGGAGAAATGCAGGAACACTGGCCACAGGAGGCTCACAGCTACTCCATAAAGGACCCGCGCGCTATGGAGCAGTGTAAAACACCAGGAGCAGGAAGAGATCGTAACTGGTGTCATTCTCCCCAGCCTCTCCTGGCAGGGGCGCTGTGGGGAGCAGGGCAGGAGTGCGGGCGCTAGGAGCAGTGTAAAACACCAGGAGCAGGAAGAGATCGTAACTGGTGTCATTCTCCCCAGCCTCTCCTGGCAGGGGCGCTGTGGGGAGCAGGGCAGGAGTGCGGGCTGCAGGAGCAGCTCCTGGCTACTCCAGCCCCAGCCTGGACAGCGGCTGTAGGGGACAGCAGGCCTTTGAGAGTGCTATTTACAGGGAATTGTTCTCGGTGTGGCCTGGCTGTTCACTCCAGGCTGGCCGGGGATGTGGAAAGGGGATGTAAAATGGGCCAGGTTTAGGTTCCTGAGTTCATTTTGGAAACGAGGCTGTTGCTAGGCTACCTCTGGAATTCGACAAGGCCTGATGCTTCAAGTCACTCCCCAGGGGAGCTGTCAATTAACTGTAACTGCATCCAGCTTCTTCATGGAGGAGCAAGACTTCCTGAGTGTCTGCAAAAACGGGCACAGAGGATTGTTTCAAACTCAAGTGGAACCTCACTCGTGATCCTGTCCACGTGGCATCCCCCCAGACTCACAGCTCTGAAGCATACATGCCCCAAGCACAGCCAAGCCATCAGAACCGGCTCACAGCACGCTTGTCTGCCCCAGCTGACACGGGGATCCCCCGCAACACAGTCTCCACGCTGCCTCACTGCGCCTGCATCAGGGCATGCTGCGCAATGGAGATGCTCGCTCACTGTGCTGGAACCGGGGATGGAGGAGAAGGCCTGGGATGGCCTAACCACAGAGCACTGAGGAAAGCACCAGCCAAACAGGTCACATGGGCAGGGCCAGGGGGCCATCCACACTGCACAAATACTGAGTGCCAACCTGGGTGCTGGAGGACAAGCACATGCTAGCCCCGGCTGCTGGCAGGGGCAACATGCAGTTAGCTACCACAGTTACTGTCTCTCTGGGCTTTCACACCACACCCCTCACCAGAGGTTCGGAGCATCTCCATGGTACCAGGTCTAACAGCGGCATTCATCAGCTAGCAGAGAGAGAAACGCTAAGGGAAAGAGAAGATATAAATGGCATGAACTGAGTCGCCTCTGAGGTTAGTAGACTGTCACTCCCCTGGGCAACAGCCACTGTGCAAGGCCCTGCACTCAGCTCTCACGTGGACATAGGACTGGCTCTGTGGAGCCTACGCACCGACACCAGCTTATCCCCCCACATTGTCCTGTCTCCCCACCCCATCATCAGTCTCAAACCCAACGGCAGGGTTTGGAACTGGCTGAGTCTCCCTGGGTGCTGTACAGAGCCCAGTGCAACGAAGCCTGATCTTGACTGGGCACGAGCGGAATATTAATACGAGGAAAGCAAACTGCATTCCCCTGGGTGCCCCAGTAACTCCCATCACCCCGGACTCCTGCCCAGGCACCAGCCCATCCCCCATGCACCACCCAGGACTGCTGGCTCTGCACCTGGGACATAGGAGCCAGACCCCAGCCCTTGGCCTATAGCAAAGTGACTCTGCACCTGTAATATTAGCCTTTGCCCTAAGAACCCCCCCCCCAGTCCCTCCTGGCACATTCATATGCAAATAGAGGCATATTAAGTGCATTCCATGCAAATCTTTTATGCAAATTGGAGTCATATTATGTAAATACAGCAACACCTTTACTCTGGGGTAACTAATTGGGCAGAGGAACGGGGAGGGGGGATTTGCACATGGAGGCCTGAAGGGGCTGTTTTCTGAGCCAGCCCCAATCTGCACGGACCAGGAACCAGAAAGCAGCCAGCACAGGCCTCAGGGGAGATCCGGCTGGTAAGTCTGAGCTTAGTCTTCCCAGGACTGGGAGCAAGCCAGTGGTGAGAGTCTGAAACCCAACGCAACCACCCCTACAAGAGGGCGACTTGGGGAATGCAGTGCCATGGAGCTACAGGGGTGGGGGCAGGATGAGGGGACGATGCAGTGCCATGGACCTGGGGGTGGGGGAGGGGAGGATACAGTGCCACTGAGCTATGGGGGGGTGCGGGGAGGAGGGGAGGATGCAGTGCCATGGAGCTACCCCCTGGAGAGGAATCCAGTGCAGGGGGATGCAAGGCCCGTGCCTGTCGCTGGGAAGTGAAGAGGGAGCCCCTGGCTGGAGTGAGGATGATGCTCCCTTCAGGGCACTGCCGTTGCCCCTCCCACCTTGGCATTCCCAGGGAGGAGGGCTCTGGATGGGATGGTAACTTGCTGTCTGGCTGCCCTCCACCCCACCCCCAGCTCCCGGGCCCTGCTCATCCAGCTTCCCAGTGAGGGTATTTGGGACATGTCTCCATCAGAGCCCAGCACCACCACTGGAACATGCACTGCACTGTGTGTGTCGGGGCGCTCCCCAGGGCATTGCCCACCACTTCCCCTTCCCCTCGTCCCCTCCCACTGGGGGCACCGACAGCCCTTCTTCCCATTGCCCCCAAAGGACACTGCCAGCCCCCCTTCCCATCACCCCACCGGGGGCACCGCTGGCCCCCCCACTTCCCGTCACCCCACTGGGGGGCGCTGCCAGCCCCCCCTTCCCATCGCCCCCCAAGGACACTGCCAGCCCCCCTTCCCAACACCCCACTGGGGGCACTGCCAGCCTGCCCCTCCCCCTAGTGCCCCCTGGGTGCTGCCAGTTTGCCTCCTCCCCTCCCATGTGCCCACATAGCACTCGAGGTGGCAGCTGTCCATCTAGGGGGTATTCCCTGCTCTGGATTTTCTCTGAACCCACTGGCCCTACTGAAGCCCCATCAAACACTGACTGTGTCTAAGGGCTTGTCTTCACTACCCGCCCGGATCGGCGGGTAAAAATCGATCCCTCGGGGATTGATTTATCGCATCTTGTCGGGACGCAATAATCGATCCCCGAATCGATGCACGTACTCCACCAGCCCAGGTAGGAGTAAGCGCCATCGACAGGGGAGCTGCGGCGGTTGATTTGCCTCCGTCCTCACAGCGGGGTACGTCGGATCAGATACGCTATTCCCATAGCTGAATTTGCATATCTGAAATCGATCCTCCCCCGTAGTGTAGACATAGCCTAAAAAACTGACTGGCCCTGAGGGCTCCTAATCCACCAGATCAGCCTTCCCATCCCATCCAGCGATGCTCCTTGCCTTCAGTGCAGCCCCTCCCCCAGCAAGGGCCTTTCCTCCCATGCGGCAGGGGCACCCTCTGTGCCTGGCCATGCTACTGGTCTAGCTCCAGCCCCCTCCCCTCCCGGTGACATGCCTGGGCCCTGCAGAGACATACCAAGGTCACTTTACCTTTCCCACGTACAGCGGCTCCGTGCCCGTGTACTCCTCAACCACAAAGAACTGGTTCCACACCCAGCCACGCTTCACACGTCCACCTGCCAGCAGCATGCTGTCCCCTGACTGCTCCAGGCCCGGCCCCCTGGCCTCCGTGTACATAGCCAGGGCCCCCGGCTGCTCCAGGCCCGGCAACCCGGCCTCCGTGTGCATGGCCAGGGCCCCCAGCTGCTCCAGGGTGCAGAGTAGCAGAAGTACGGTCCATGAGAAGCCTGGCAGCGCCATCACCACTGTGCACCAGGAGGCTGCATGGAGAGTTGCTTTCAGAGAGGACGCTGACATCCTTTGGGGAGCAGGAAGGGGCCTGACACCACCACTGTGGGGCTCACCAGCCCGGATGGGGCAGCTTCCCCATCCCCGCCGAAACCTCGCTGCAGACAGTCAGGCTCCTCAGGGTGCCTGTGGGCTAGGAGTTACGTCTGCCCAGGCCCCAGGCATGCTGCTGACAGCAACAAGTGACTAGCGTCCTCGGCTCCTGGCATCGGGCTGAGCAAGGCGAGAACAGTCAAGCTTTCTGCCTGGAAGAAGCTACAGCCTGGGCCCTCTCAGAGACTCCGTGTGGCCAGACGACTAGTGCTTTCCCATCAGCGCTCGCGTGCCCCATTCGCCAGCGACCCAGGGCTGCACTGCTCCGTGGCTGGGCTGGTGGCTGCAGCAATGCCGGAGCAGGAAGACTGGTGGCTGCAGTTCCTTGGGAGCCAGGGGTCAAAAGACCATTTATCCCCCCCTCTGCTCTCCCCACATCCCACCCTGGGGACACTTCAGCAAGCAGAGAGGGGGGCTCTGCTGCCTGTGGCAGGGCTCTCCTTGTGGGGGCAGAGAAGGCTGCACCTGTAGTTTGCAGGACGGAAGAGCGAGCACCTTTGCATTAAGTTTCATGAGAGATCTTAACAGGAGCAGCCGGTTGTGGCCGAGACGGGCGCTCACCCACTCCGGAAACAGGCCCGGTGCTATCAGGCTACAGATCCAGCTGTGGCAGGCCCTGGTGCAGGGCTGCTCAGGCTGAGGGCATTTGTATTCTCCATCTTCGCGGCTGTTGCACTCCAGTTTCTAGAGGAAAACCCTTCGCCAAGCTGCTGCCGGTCACCTCCATCCTCTGCCAGTTCACGCGGGTGAGCACAGGGCAACTGACAACGTCTCTGGGAACCTGAAAGAGGCCGAGATGTTAGTGACGACCCCTGGGCTGAGCACTGCACTCCCCACTCTGAGTGCCTCCCCTCGTCTGGCTGCCCCTCATGCTCCCTTCATCTCCTGTGCTCACTGCCTGGCTCTTTTCCTCCCCTGCTTTCTCTCCCTCTTTGTAGTGCTGCTGCCCCCTCCCCTGGTGCCACGTGTGGGAGCCTGGCATTGCAGGAGCTGCTAGAGCCAGGGACATCGGGAGGAGGAGGGTAGCAGAGCTGTGGCGCTTTCATCTCTATGGAAATTCCTGTATTTAGCAGGGATCCGGAGAACAGCAACAGCTCAAACCAGTAAGGCGGCAGCTGCGCAGCGCGCCTCCCCCTCACGCTGCTTCTGGGATCCAAGTGAGAGCGAGTACAGTTACTCAGGGTGATCAGATGGCGTCGGGAGGGCCCCACAGGCTAACGCTCCCAGCAGCGGCTGTTGGTCCAGGGCTGAGGGGCGCAGGTTTCGCGTGACACCCTGTGTGTGCAGCTCAGCGCTCTAATGTGTGTGCGCTTTGGACAACACCGGCCTGAGCTCAGGGGAGACTGGCTCCCCAATTCTGGGCTCCACCCATTAGCCTGTCCAGCCCCTCTCACCAGCCTCACTCTTTGATATTCTCAGACTGGGAAGGAGCTGCCAGCCCCAAATCCGGGTCTGTGGGAGCCAGAGCTACCTTGACTGAGCTCCAGATCAACAGTGGTTGAGGAGAGGAGTCCAGAGAATATTCAATACCAACTTCCCAGCCAGGTCCGGCCTTGTCCCAGACACAGACAGACAAGCTTGGGCAGGAGATTTGTGACCTGCCACCAGGATGGAAACATGCTCTGTGTAACAGGGACCATTTCAGACAGCTTGCGATAAGCCTCGCTGTGCCCATGGGCGGATGGACAGGCACCTCCCTGTCCCCTAGAGACGACAGAGGGGCAGGGCAGGGGGCATCCTGGACCGTGTCCCTTACGAATCAGACCAGGATCTCCCCGGAGCACAGGAGTCACACAGCTGCCTGGAGAAGGGATTCTCAAAGCCCAGCCACTGCCAGATGCTACAAAGCCAAGTTCGGCAGCAGCTGACAAGTCCCTCGCATGCACCCGGTTCCCCGCCCTCCTGGGACAGGCACACGGGCCTGACTGGCTTAATGCACACAGCACGCCAGCTCGGGTATTTCCCTGCCCCCTCACACCACAGCACGCAGGGCGCTCACGTGGCGGAGACACTGAGCATCACTCAGTTCCTGATTCCTACGCAGCACACAGGTGTTATGCACACGCCAGCAGGCTCACACACGGGCCTGCTACAGCATATACACATATGCCCTGTATAACATGCACAGGGGCCAGTGCGCACTCACCCACACACCCCGCACTGTGGGCATCTGATGCTCTGGGGAACACAGGGTCTCTGGTGCACTTTGAGGAGTCAGGAATTATTGTTCAGCCTCATTAATGCTTCCTACCCAAATGCATCGCCCAGAGGCCCCACCGCCTGGGCCCACTCCTCAGCAGACAGGGCTGTAACAAGGCCTCTTGTCACTGAGATATCTCCCCTCTCACTGCACGTGCTACCGGATACTCACTAGTAAATGCAAAGAATTATCACCCATGCACTAGGCCCAAGAGGGCATGAGCGAAGGGTATGGCCCAGTCATCCTGGCTCACTCATTCCTAGTGTGTGACAGAGGGTCTTGGAGTCACTTGTGCCAATTAGGCAGGTTTCCCTGCGACCAAACAATATGAAAGACATTTTAAAGCAGGAAACTGTTTCTAGGAGGCAGGAGGGATGAGTGGGTAGAACTGCTGGAGGGTGCAGGGCTGACAATGTCGGCCACCAGCCCACAATCACTTGGGCTGAACCCTCTGTCAGCCAATCTGATTGCACCCTCCGTCCCTTGGCATCAGAAGCACTGCTGTGCTAGGTCAGTGGGATGCATCTAGCCCCATCTCCAACGGCCAAAGCCAGCTGCTCCCGGGGAGCAAAAAGCCCTGTAACGAAACCACACGTAAAGCACACGCGTGCACATAAACATACTGTACAAAGCATCCATGACAATGGCCAGTGTAACACAGTCACGCCTGACTGGAAAGTCTCTGCTCTTGCGGAGCTTTCATCTCCAGGTCAGACCACTCGAGTCTGGCCCTGCTGGGCAATGACCAGGGCTGACAAATCTCACCACGTCCAGGGTTTTACAGACTCTGCAAACCTGCCTGAGCGCCTGAATCTTCTTTCCTGCCAACACATTTCTCCCAGCAGCCATCCACTAAAGCAGGTTTTCTAGCTAGAGGTCGGCCTCAGCTCTGCCCTGGGGAGAGAAGAGCCCCCAGGCCAAGGGTGGGGCCTTTCCATGGGAATCTCAACCCATCCCTGTTCTAGTCTCTCCTCAGCCCAACACGAACCCAAGGATGTTCCAGCCCCACTGAAAAGGTTCAAACCCACCCTGCTGAAGTGGACTGGCGCTTCGGGAAGTTGGTCCCTAGCACTGGCCAGAAATGGCTCCCATCCCATGGTGCTCTGGGTGGGCGTGAAATCAGCTGGTGGGTCTCAGGCCACTTGCTAGCAAACACTCACCCCTTGCGCCCCAGAGCCTGTCCTGCTCCTCGGCTCTCAACCCCAAGGTGGGGCGAAACTCACTCTATTTCCGCCTGTGCTGAGCCTGCCTGGGGACAAGCAAAGGGCATCCACCTCTGGAGCGGTCAGTGCTAAGTTGTTGTTATTACACAGCACTTCTGCGCTGCAGCGATACCTGTAGCCATACCACAGATGGGCTGCACTCAGGAAATGCAACTGCTAGAATCAGAACTTAACAAAGGGTCCATTCTGGTCCCGTCTCCAGGCCTGTCACAATACTAAGTACACTGTGGGAAGCAATCACCAGAGCTCAGAATTCTCACCCTTTGTCCATCACCAGAACCCTGCCTGCTCAGCCACGCTCAGGTTCACCAGAAGTCTCCACAGGGAAAACACACACAGCCCCTGGTCTGGGAAATGCCTAGAGGCAGCAGAGAAAGGGCATTAGCCAATTTCACCTGACAGGCACATTTGTGTATTCCTACAGGACATATTTGTGTCCAAGAAACAAGGGATGGCCCTTGCAGCAGGAACACGCACAGCATCTGCAGCGTGTTCAGACTGGTGCACGGCCGGGGCGGAGTGCAACAGAGTGGAGGAAAAGTCTCCCATGGTGGGAGACATGGAAAGGAGGAAAAACACACACCCTCAATTCACTGCTAATTTAATGGGGCTTGACTCCTCCATTTGCTCCGCGCCCCAGGACACTGCCAGTGTGATCCACTTGCAGCCCTTGGTCTTGTGGCCACAGAAATGCAGAGCACTGGAGGGATGTCTGCAGGAGCAGATCTATGGGAGCTGGAGATAAACATATTCCTACAGCGTGAGGCCACCCTAAGTGCTCAGACTCCATTCCACTGTTCTCACCCTTACAGTCACGCATTTGGATTGTGCTATTCAGAGCTGTCACTAGGCATAAGCAGACCAATTGCTTAGGGCCCCGAGCAGCTCAAGCCCCCCCCCCCATTTGTTTTTTATTATGTGTTGTGGGGGGAATATTCCTGCTTAGGGCCCCCAGTGGGCTAGCACTGCCTCCGGTGCTATATAAGGGCTGGGCTTGGGTCAATGGTCTGTTATCTGCACACGTCCACCACACCCTCCTCCACACCCTCCTCTCCAGCTTATCCCTGCCTCGCAGGCTCCCCCAGCCTCCTCCAGGGGCAGCTGCTTTCTCTTCCTCTCCCCTTCCCGTAACCTCTCGGTGCTGCATGCAAAGCTGTGTGCCAGGACATGACGTCCTCTGCTGCGGGTAGGGCCCAGGGAGACCCAACACACAAGGGGCAGAGGCTGGCGACAGCATTTATTTCCCAGTGATATTGATGACCTTTCATAACTGACTTGGGGCACTTCTCTCTGCCACACATGAGCTATGGGCTGATGGGAGCTGCTGCTGCTGTCAGAACCAGCACGCAGTGCAGCGCCCCGACGGGACGGCCTATGGGGGCTCACAGGCAGACACACGCTGCCTGGCTCTAGCTCATGCTCATACCCCCCTGCACCCCTAGTTCAGAATCCAAGTGAAACGCCACCTTTGCGGATGTTCCTCAGGGCCAGCTTCCCAATTATCAGCGTGACTTGTACCCCTCCCCGAGAGGGCTCGCTCGGCTTGTCGGTATGTATTTGGCAGAGCCATACTGTACATCATGTTGACAGTGGAAATTACATCCTGAGCTTATGTTTTACACTCTGCCCTGTCAGAACTCACCGCAGCCCAGTGATCAGGACAAATTGAATAGCATCCCGCCCGTGTCAATATTTATTTCATTTTACAAATGCAGCCGATGCGGGGGAAGCGGGGGGAGGGGGGGCGCAAACACCAGCACACACAAAGGAACAGCCTAACCGCTAATACATCTTGCAACCTGACGAAGCCCTACATAACACGGACATGCGCTCAGGTGCTGCAATATGGAAAGATCTGACTGCAGTCCTCCAGAGACCTGTGCAGGGGCCCAGAGAGAACTGAAAGGGGAAGGCTTTGTCTCCAGGCTGCTAGGAAACTGTAAATAGATTCCTGTAGGAATACACACAATCCAAACTCTCTCATGATACAAACACACCCCAATACATGCACACATCTACACACACGCAAATGTTCACACAGACTCTCAACTGCATTCAGACATTCCACACACACTGTACACAAAACCTACATGCACAAACTTGCAGCCCTACCTGCATACATACACTTGGGGGTAAGTTCTGCAGTTGGGGGTCTCTTCACACCAAACTTCCATCTTCCAGCTCTCAGAAGCATCACCTGGGGCCTCACTAGCTCCATCTTCCCTGAAAAGCAGGATAGAAATGGTCTCTACACACCCACACCCTTCCTGACAGCTGGAAATCAGTTACTTGGATTACTCAGCCTGGCCTGTTCAGAATCACACTTCTCTCCACCAGCACCAACTGGCAGGTCGGGCACCCAGAAGAGGCGAGCTTGTACTGGAGAGGGCTTAGAGCAGGAGTGGGCAAACTTTTTGGCCCGAGGGCCACATGGGAATAGAAATTGTATGGAAGGCCATGAATGCTCACAAAATTGGGGTTGGGGCGTGGGAGGGGGTGAGGGCTCTGGTTGGGGTGCGGGTTCCGGGGTGGGGCCAGAAATTAGGAGTTCAGGATGCAGGAGGGGGCTCTGGGGTGGGGCTGGGGATGAGGAGTTTGGGGTGCAGGAGGGTGCTCCAGGCTGGGATTGAGGGGTTCAGAGGGCAGGAAGGGGATCAGGCTCGGGCAGGGGGTTGGGACGCTGGGGGAGGCTCAGGGGTGCAGGCTCCGGGTGGTGCTTACCTCAAGTGACTCCCAAAAGCAACTGCATTTCCCTTCTCTGGCTCCTACATGGAGGCATGGCCAGGCGGCTCTGTACGCTGCCGTGTCTGCAGGCACCACCCCTGTAGCTCCCATTGGCTGCAGTTCCTGGCCAATGGGAGCTGTGGGGGCGGCACTTGGGGTGGGGCAGCATGCAGAGCGTAGCTCCCTGGCTGCCCCTGTGCGAAGGAGCCAGAGGGGGGTCATGCCGCTGCTTCCAGGAGCCGCGTGGAGCGGCCCCTGACCCTGCTCCCTGGCTGGAGCACCAGAGCGGGGCAAGCCCCAGACCCCACTCCCCAGCGGGAGCTCAAGGGCTGGATCCAGCCCACAGGTCGTAGTTTGCCCACCCCTGGCTTAGGGGAACTGCGGGTCTCTGGGCTCCAGGGTCTCTTCTAGCCCTTGCCTATTGGCTGTCCTGCATTTTCATCCTGCAGGTCCCAGGTAGCTGCGGCACACCCTGCCAGCCTCAACACTGAGCATGGAAGGCATACGGAAGGGGCACCAGAGGAGATAGCAGCCTGGGAGCAAAACGAGCATCTGGAGTGAGGAGAGGGGGTCAGGGACACAAAGAGATGGAGGCAGAGAATAGAAAAACCCACACAGCCGAAGCAGCACTTCCCGCTGGCAACAAGCAGTTAGTGCTACCTACGTCACCCAGGGCTGGATGGAGCCACCCTCGAATGTGCAAGTAAGAATGGCAGAGGAAGAGGGATGGGCCCTGCGGTGGGTCCCCAAGGGGAGGACCTGAGTGGATAGGGCCAGCCTGTGGGGGACCCAAGAGGCAGGCAGGGCAGGGCAGGGCAGGGCAGGACAGACTAGTCCCCAAAAGGGGTGACTCAGGTACCCTGTAGGCTCCGGGCCTGCCCAGGAAACCACCAGCAAGGGGTTAGCTCAGAGCTTCGCCCCTCTGGCAGCCTCAGGGAAGGTCCATTGCCAGGTGACCAGCACTGCCTGGTGCCCAGGTTGGTGCCCCAGCTGCCAGGCTGGGCTCTGCTCCAGACCTCTCCCTCCCTAGCTCAGTGGGAGAGGTGGAGTGCCTTGCTCAGAAGCGGGAGGGAATAGCTACCTCCATGGGACACCCAAGGCTGGGGAGTCCGGGCAGGGTGATGGCAGGCGGAATGGTCCCACTTGCCTCCGCTCTGATGTGTGCAATGGAGAGTGACAGAGCAGCAGGTACACAAGGCGCAGCAGGACGTGGATTTAACCAGAGGCCACAGCTGAGCAGGGCCCACCTGAGATCTGCAGCTCGCCACACGAGGAGAGTCAAAGCCAGGGGACCCCACAGTTCAGAGAGGGTGGGCAGGGGCTGTTTAAATGTTCCCAAATTCCCCACCACCACCCCAGCTCAGACAGTTCCCCATGGCCTACCGCTGCCATGCACCACTGATACGTGAGAGAAGATCCAGGCTGGGCAGGCTACCCCAGGCCTAGCCCTGGCTGGGTCCCAGGCCCCGGGAGGCTGATATTAAAGTATTTATTTCAAGAGATGCCTAATTCTGCCCTGTGGTTTCATTCTCGACTCCAGCCAGCCAGGTGCTCCCGCTGCTCATCCCACAGTCCCGGGGCGCCGGCTGCCTGCCCCCGGCAGTAGGGATTTCGCACCAGCCTCCACTGTGTTCTAATGCCCCGTATCTCCCATCTTTCCCAGGCTGGGGGCTCCTTCTGCAGCCGGACGCAGGGGCAGCTGACACCCAGGGGTCCTAGTCCCAGAGTGCCCTGCGAGCCGAGCAGCTACCAGGATGTGTGCCAAAACGGCACAATCCACCCAAGGAAGAATTCTGCGGCTGTCTGCAGTGCCTGTGCATAAGGGGAGCTGGCCCCACGGGCTGACATTCACCTGGGGGTGAAGCTCTCACCAGGGCTCGTGGGAGCTGCAGTCTGCTCCTCTCCATGCAGCTAACATTGAACAACACCAAACTAGGGGTCCAGGCCGGACCTGCGGGGGCCACATTGGGCTTATTTGGGAAACGGGTTGGTCATGATCCTGGAAGGCCCAAAGGAAGGAGCGTCAGGATATAGGGAGAGCCCAGGGCTGTGCTGCACTGCCCCTGCCGCGCCCCCCACATGGAAATCTAGTGGTGAGTTTGTGGCCTAAGCCACACAGGTCACACTAGATAGTCACAATGGTCCCTCCTGTCCCGAATCTCGTCATAGCCCACACTGAGCGCTCTCTGAGGCAGGGACTGCCTCTCCCTTAGTGTCTGAGCAGGGCCCCGCTCCCTGCTTGGGGCCTCTGGGTACTACCAACAAATAACCGTAATGCCCAGGCCTGCCCAGCCTGGAGCCAGGGCCTACCCAGCCTTGCTGGCTGCGTCAGTGCTGAAGCAACGGGGGAACTGCCGAAGCAGTGCTCCCAACCACAGAGGAAACCCGGCTTCTCCTGAACTGTGTTCCTGATGAGTGCAGTAGTGCAGGATCAGAGCTCGATATCCCACTTAATACCTCAGCGAGACCACCTGCCTAGCATCTCATCTCCGCGAGTCAGCGCAGCCCTGAGAGCCTGGCCTCAGACAGATCCCACTGAGATGGGCCAAAAAGCCCGTGATTATTCCACCAACAAATTCGTCTTTCATATTGTCAACAGTGCAGTAAATTACAGTGCCATGTAACTGTCTCCGCTTCTTAAACAAGATTCAATTCCATTTAACTCTCCCCTTCCTGGGGAAAGGAGCAGACTAGCTAGAATTTGTTTCCCGGTGTCTGTTGTATACAGACTGTGTAACCGTGGCAAGGTTCTCAGAAAACTTTATTATGGCACATCACCTCCAAGCACCTCCATTGGCTGGGAACCCAGAGTCTTCACTGCTCCAGAATTCAATTGATCTCCTGCCTATTGCGAGACAAGCAGGAGTGGCTAACATGCTATTCCTCTCATGCTACTGCCTCCAATTCTGGGGCAAGGGTGGGGTGGGAGCAGAGAGGAGAATTTGCTGAATGTAAGATACTATCAGCCAGGGCCGGCTCCAGGGTTTGGGCCACCCCAAGCAGCCAAAAAAAAAAAAGCCGCGATCGCGATCTGTGGTGGCAATTCGGCGGGAGGTCCTTCACTCCGAGCGGGAATGAGGGACCGTCCGCCGAATTGCCTCCGAATAGCTGGACGTGCCGCCCCTCTCCAGAGCGGCCGCCCCAAGCACCTGCTTGCCAGGCTGGTGCCTGGAGCCGGCCCTGCTATCAGCACTAGGCTAGGGCCACACAGCTTGTGTGCGAGCTTCCTAAACACAGCTCTGACAATACGCCTCAACTCTGACCTGCGGCACCCCTGCTAGGTCACTTCTCAGCAACAGCTGCTGCCTGTGCAAAACAGTGGGGTCCTTTTGTGATAAGGAGAAATGTCCACTAGGGACTGGAATGAGGCATGCAACTCATCCCTATGTGTCCCCTGGGACTGCAGTCTGAAGAGGTGAAAGACCAATAGTGAGCACATTGTCTAACCACACTATTTGCCCCCCAGAAGAGCTGCTGCTCCAAAATGCCTGTGTGGTGAAGACGACATTCTCCCTGCTGCGTACTCTTGCCTGCTCTTTGCAGACACGCAGCATTGCAGCCTGAAGAATGGGTGTCCCCAGCATGGAGCATGCACACATGCTGCACCTTATTATTTCTTTGAGGGCAGGGAGAACACCAGGCCCGTCAGCCCTGTGTGAGCCAGGGCCCTCCTTTGAAATCAACGGAGTTGCACCTTGTCATACCAGGGCTGCATTTGACCCAAAGACTCTAGCGTTGCAAGTTCTCAGCCCACAGCAAATCACACCAGTGATGTGTTATTTAGGGTTCAGCTCCAACTCCCAGATCACAGACCTTTCTGGGGAAACTAGGCTGGACAAAGCACTACGAAGTATATGGTACAATACAGAGCAATTGTGGCCTAGCTGTGACTGATGACAACAGCACCCCTCTCCCAACCCTTGGTCTCTCCCTGCTGTGCCAGGTGAGCGCTAGCCACCCAGGCCGGCGCTGCAGCCCAGGTAGGACCCTCTCTCATGAGATGCATTTGTTCAGCAACCACTCTCTGATTCACGGCATCTTTTGTAGAACCTGAATGTAGTCTCGCAATCAAGCAATAAGAAATGGCTGAAGATATTGATCTGGATAAGAGATAGTGCAGCGGAGTATACAAATGCTGGAGATAAATGGCCAAGAATGTGGAGCTGCACCCTTTTTAAAAGGCATATTTAATTGATTTTGAATTTTACTTACCCAATGAAAGCCCTTTTGTATCCAGACTGGCATCCTCCTGAACACGGCTCCCACCTACAATAACGCTAACGCATCACAGCAAAGCACCAGGTGCCACTGGCTTCCAACAAGAGCAGCACCTCTCAGGATCAGGCTGAGACAGTACAAGGAAAAGGTAGGAGGTTCCTTGTGGTCTAGCGAATGCCCGGCCCTGACCCCTAGCACACGACACAGGCAGAGGGTGATGATAAAAGGAAGTTCCCCCAGCTCCAGTTTTTAATAACACGGGGACAGAAAGCCCATTACAC